TATATATATATATATATATATATATATATATATATATATATATATATATATATATATAATTGATAAATCGCATGCCTCATATGTAACACCTGTTTTTTCTCAGTTTGATCAACTGGAGACTCCAGGATTTCAAATATAATGTTTTGGGGAAAAATCTTATGCCACAGTGTGGTAGGTTGTTAATAGCGGTGCAACCACGTCACTTAAATGAGGAGCACGTATGACTAGTGATCGCGGTGTGGTAAGGTAATCACCACGGCGTGGTGAACGTTGTAGTCCAAGCCCATGAGGTTTAGGGTGTCTTTTGTATTTAAATGCATTAACTCCATATTTATTTTTTTCTTTTCAGCCTCCATCCACCAACTCGAAACCCTAGCCTCCATGTTTGATGTTGAGTTTGTTCTCTTGATTTTTTTGAAGCTTGAGGAAGAAAGAAGCCCCTTTTGGTGCAAGGAGGCAAGGATCTAACATGGATACATCATCTACTTCAAATTTTTTAGTTATTTGAGGTATAAAGTTCATACCTTGGCCTTTACTTTTCTAGATTTAATTTTATGCTCATTTTTGGTGGTTTTGAGTCCATTTCTTGGATATCTTTGGAGTTGAACAACTCTTGGACCTTTGGGCCAAACTTGAAGGATTAAGGATGTAGACTGAGGTTTGACCTTTATTTGGTGTTAGACAATTCGATGGCTTGATTGACTCAACGAGTTGAGAGAGTAGTTGTGCTTCTCCGATTTTGCGATTCATTCTCACTATACAACGTGTGACGTTATATATCCTTTGTGTGGTAGGATATAGGTATTGTTAGAGACTTAGAGTATATGTATGCTAGTTAGCTACGATAACTCCTTGTTATGTATGTGTAGTGTAGGATACTTGGTGTCATGATATGATAGACTGGTAGGGTCTTGCATGTGAATTGTTTGATATTGTTAGGTGTCATGTATGGTTAGGGTAATGCTAATATTGGTTTATTGTTGATTGGATAACCTAGGGGTGGTATGTAATTTAAATTAGATAGCCTGAGAACTTTTGGTCTAAAGCCTTATTTACATGATTCTTGTTTGATTTATTGCTTTTTAGTAGGATCATATGTACAAACGTCTATCTTATTTTCGACTACATATGAATATGTGTTCATAAGGTGGTCATCAATATTAGCATTGACCCAGTATGGATATGGTACGGATATAAGCCGATGATTGCATGGCAAATGAGAGCCGGTAGTAGTGGACGGTTGAGAGCCAGTAGTAGTAGTTAGCTACTACTAGTTAGCTGAGAGCCAATAGCAGTAACAATATGGTGGATGAGTGCCAGTGGATGATATGTATGATTATTATGTACACATGTTGATAGGAGAGTTGGCAGATCGGCAGCAGAACTGAGAACTTGTTTGTATGCATTGTAAGATGGTGTAGTATGTGGTATATCGAGGAACTCACTAAGCTTTATGCTTACAGTTGTGGATTAAATGTTTTGCAGGTAGTTTGTGGAAAGGGCTCGATAGGTCTGTATACATGTATCAAAGATATAGGTTTCCGTTGCTTTGTAATTCAATTATGTTAATCATGCGGTTTTCAAACAATTTTGATGTTACTGCATGTTGTTAAGTTAAAGGTTCTAAATTGTTCAACCTAATTTAAATGAAATTCTATTTTGAAATGTAGGACGTTACATTATATATAAACAATAAACAATAAACAATATGTTACATACAAAATTAATAGGGAGACAGCTGAACAATCCAACCGGTTTACAATGCAACTTAGTAGCACAATGAAGTGGACGTCATACCTATATAAATGAGCTTTCAAAGAGTGTTCCATTCCAGGTTTGATCTTCAAATCCTAGAGTTATTTTTTTTTTTTTTTTTTTTTTTTTTAAATTTTCTTTTTAAAGAAACATCTCACTTATGTCAGAAATGTTCATTTCGAAGTGTTTAATGTAGGTATAAGTTTTTTAACCGAAAAATCGAACCGAACCGAGACCGGTTGGAACCGAATAATGGTGTTCGGTATGGTTTTCGGTTCTTAGTTTAAGGCTTATTTGGTTTCAGTTCTTTTTGGTTCCGGTTCTGAACACCTTTTTAGATAGCTCATTTCTTAATATAACTAAACCAATTAGAACCGAATAGTGCTAGTGTAAAGACTTCGTTTTCTTCTTGAAAGTTTCCTGTAAAAGAAAAGATTAATAGCAAACGATGTGGTTGGAATAAGAATGTTGATTAGAATTTAGTCCGAATGTAATTTTTTGTTAGAAAAAAGTGTTTTTTTTTTATTCCAGAGTGCCTATTTCGGACCAAATGGTTATTTTTGGTAAAAGCAATTTTTTGTAGTTATTTTTTTTTCAAATATATGATTAAATTTCTTAATTTCCCTGTATAAAATATAGATGTGATGTTTTTGTAATTTCATATATGAGTTTGTTAATGTATTATGTTGATCATAAAAAGACCGGTTTATCAATTCAAGTGGAGGATTGCAACCCACGATGGTCATTGTAACTACCAATTAATTAAATATTGAATCAATCTTTTTATTATTCAACATTCTCTTGCTAGTTTACTTAACCTTAAGAAAAATGTTTTGTTGGTGATCATGAGCTATTTTTTATTCATTAATTAACGTATGATTCGGGTTTGCATTGCTTCATTGAATATATTATATAGAAAAAATTAAAAAAATGGTCTCTGTGATTGGTAAATTTATGTGTTTTTGGTCCAAAACGAAATATTGATGCATCATTGGTCCAAAATTAGATTTTTTTATTGTTTTTGGTCCCTATACACTTGAAAAGATGATTTTGTCCGGTTATATTTTTAATTTTCTTTAATTGCTGAAACATATATGTCAATTTAATTTATATTTTTTAACTTAAAAAAAAGGTCTACCCACCATTTCTCTTTCCCTCTCTCTCAAAAAAAACGCACACACGCACTCAAGAAAGAACATATCAGCACTAGTGGCTGCCACCATCACCACCGATTGCTACCACCGTTCGCCACCATCACCATTGACTGCCACCAGTGTCCACCATAAACATCCAATCCCACCCTCATCCCCATCTTTCCTTCCTCATGCCCGATAAAACTTCCCCATCAACACTGCGCTTTTAATCGATTTGGTTCTAATTTGGAGTTGTTCATTATTTGCAAGATAAGCAGAAAAGATTGTGATGAATATTATATAGGAGCAAAAGTAAAAGAATAGATAGTTGTGTGAGGCTTTGAAGAAGAAGAAGAAACAGAAACAGAGTGTGTGGGTCAGCCAAATGTGAGTCGTTTTCAATAGTATAACTTTATTTGTCTCTATGTCAATTCATCGAACACCTTATGTGCTTGACAACCTTCCACACTTGTGAAAGTGATTCATCATCAGAATCATTCATTCTTCCAAGATCGCATTGTTTCCCCTCTCTGATTTCTTCTAAGCAAAACTAAAATCATAAATTTCTCAAGCCACCTTAATCACCCACAATCGAACACCTTCCTTCACCCCTTTCCTGAACCACCAGATATCATCCTTAAATCAAATCCTTGAGAGCTGCGATCAAAAATACATACACACACGTATTAATCGAGCCATTACGGTTTACTGGTTTAAAGTGGTTGAATCTTGACAGATTTGATATCGATTTCGTCCCCTGATATGTCTTCTACTTCTCAATCGATTTCAAAAAGTATGTGTGTATGTGTGTGTGAATCCTTACTAAAGCGATGATGAGCTAAGAATTCTTCCAAATATGCAGATTCTTCGAGATCGGTGACCCTTTGTGGGTTTTTCTTCCTCGTCTTCGGCAGCAGAATTGCCGACCTTGGGTCGCTCGAAGAAAGAAGAACGGAGGCGGCATCCAACGATGAAACTCGAAGGGAAGGTGGACAAAAGAATGGTTCGGTGGAACAAGGCAGGCAGGTAGGGGTTCGGTAGAGTTTGCTCGACGGGAGGAGAAGAGAAGTGCGAGAGATGAGGCTGTTGCATGGCATATGAAGATTTAGAGAGAGAGAGGTGGGTTTATTTTGTTTTTCATTTTATTATAAGAATAAGAAAATAAATAAAAGAAATTAAAATATAATTATTTAAAGGGCATATTAGTTATTTTAGGTGGGATGTGGAAAAAAAAACACAAGAAAATACAACCATAGAGATCAAAACCACACAAGGTATTTAAAATTGGACCAGTGATGCTCCAACATTTCGTTTTGGATCAAAACTACAAAATTTTGCCAACCACAAGGACCATTTTTGCAATTTTATCTATTATATATGTGAGTAATCATAAGCTAGTATTGATTAATTATGAAGATAAAAATATTTCAAATTTTCAACCCTATTACTATTAAGAAAAGAAGTTAAAGAGTTGAAGTTGTCATTTGTTTATAAGTTTTGTAAATGCTAGGAATTTGAAGTTGTTTTTATTTTATGTGAAGAATAAACCAATGATAAAGAGGGAGAAATGAGAGAAAAGATAGAGAGAAGATTCAAGGTTGTGACAATGCTATTTCTTTAATAATTAAAGTTACATTTTTTTAACGGCAATAATTAAAGTTAAATAGCTCGAAAAGATGATCTTTGGTAAGTGAAGTTTCCCCAAATCAAAGTTCTCAAAGTAAGTGTTAATCATAACATTTGGCAATTTTGGGGGCAAATAGTTATTGAATGGAGTACAACTTATGGAATAATTATTTATGAAATAATTATACTTTATGTTTATGAGTTGGATTTAAAGGACATAAAGTGTTTAGAAAAATCATTTCTCGGGTTTGTGAGTGAAAACGTAGAAATGAAAAGCGTGAGGATTAAGCTTTAATTTGTGGGATTTGGCCAAAATTCGATTTCAATTCCATTCCAATCCTTCCTTTGGTTGCAAACGAGTACGGAATTGGATTCCGCTGGAATCCACAAAATCTTTTGATCGATAGATTACAAATTTACAACATTCCACCCTAACATCCATGGAATTCAATTCATATTCCAATTCTTTCAAAAACATTATGCGACTCAAATGCAAGTCATATCTGCAACATATCCTTCCTTTTCCATATGTTGTAAAAGAATATCCAATGCCTCAATTACTCCATCATAATCGGAATGGAATCCATCTCCGGAAATGAAAGCATGAACTTTATTCCCAATTCCAATCCAACTACAACCCGGTTCCTTTCCATTCATTTTCTTCCCCATCATTCCTCTCACCTTTCCCGCTTCTTCATACCTTCCAACATCAAAATACATATTCGACAACAAAACATACGCACCCTTTTCTTCATCATCATCAAATTCCCATAAATACCCCTCAATCTTTTCACCCAATTCCACATTTTTATGAACCCTACAAGCCGCCAGCAACGGCAACCACAAACCACCTCTTTTATTTTCCGGCAAACTTTTTATAAACCCAAAAGCCGCCTCCAATTCCCCCGCCCTACCCAAAAGATCCACCACACAAGCATAATGCTCAAACTCAGGAATCAACTTATAATCTTTCACCATTTTTTCATAAAACTTCAAACCTTCATCCACCATTCCTCCATGGCTACAAGCAGTTAAAACAGCTAAAAAAGCAACGGAATTTGGTCGAATTAATTCGGTTTCCATTTGTTGAAATAAAGTAATGGAATCATGGACATGGCCATGTAAAGCACAACCCATGATCATAGATGTCCATGACACCAAATCATGATGATTCATTTGATAAAAGATTTTTTTAGCAAGTTTGATGTTTCCACATTTGGCATACATGTGAACAAGTGAGCTGGATATGAATATGTTTTTGTCAAAATGGTTTCTGATTATGTACCCATGGAGTTGTTGGCCTAAAGGTAGAGTGGTTAAGTGTGCACAAGCAGGGGTAATACTGGAAATTGAAATTGGGACAGGTTTGATATTGGAAGTTAACATTTGGCGGAATAAATTCAAACCCTCGTCAAAAAGACCATTTTGGACATGCTTTGAGATGATTGAGCACCATGAAACAATGTCTTTTTTGGGGAGGGAAGAAAACAAGTGATATGAATCTTGCACCATGTTACAGTTTGCATACATGTCGGATAATCCAGTTGTGATGAACTCGTTTTGGTCAAACCCATGTCTGACTCCATACCCATGAATCTCTTTTCCCTTCCAAACATCCATATGTTTTGCAACAACTGGAAGGAGATTTGATAGAGTAAAAGCATCAGGTTTCAAGTTAGCATTACTCATGTCTTTAATCATCAACATAGCTTCATTGTACATGTTGTTTTGAGCATATCCCAAGATGAGTGTGTTATAAGAAACCACATCTCGGTCTTCCATGGTTTCAAAAACTTTTCTCACACTTTGCATTTGCAGATCTAGTTCTTTATTATTGTTGTTATTGCTAACTAATATACTCTCGTTTTGATCGCTTGTCGTTCTTTCAGGACTTTCATCGAACACCTGTAGAGCACTGGACCTCTGCAGCTTAGAGTACATGCTCAACAACGCGTTTCCTGTAAAAATATCGAATTCTAGTCCAACCCGGATAATACAAGCGTGAACAGATTCCCCAAACTTGAAATACATTAAATGGGTGCAAGATTTTAAGACGGAAGGGAACACATTGTGATCTGGGTATATTCCCAAAGCACGCATTTTGACGAAACAATTCAAGGATTCTGAGAAACAGGCAGTGGAAGAGTAGCATTTGATGATGGACTTCCAAGCGAGGATGGGAGGAGAGGGGAGTGTGTTGAAGAGAATGAGGGATTCGGGTAAGAGGTTGAGTTTAGAGTAAATGGAGAGGAGAGTAGTGGTGAATATAGGAAAGCTTTTCACGATGTGAGCATGGATTTGTTTGGCTTGAGATTTGGATTTGATTTGCGTTGGATTCTTCAGAAGGGTTTTGATGATTGTTTGAACGGATTCCATCTAGTGATCTTGTCGCAACGGGTTGTGCTCTTCAGGCTTCACGAGCTTATGTAACAAAAACTCGAAAGAAAAACATACAAGACAGAAATTTTATCTAAAATTTTACTCGCAGCAACGTTTTTTAATATATTTCTTTTAACATTTTATGTGCAATTGGATTGAAAGGTGTGAAAAGAAAGTGCGGAAAGAATTTCAAATGGTATATAATATGGTAAATTAGAGTCCCTCGTACAAGTACAAATGTAAAAAGAAAAATGACTTATAAGAGTAATAAAGTGTTCGATTTGTATTTATTTGGTTTTTTTTTTTTTTTGTCTTTATTATACCATTAAACTAAATATTTATGCTCACCAAAACCCTCGCGACCGGTTGTCGTAGGTTATTGCTTATGTGAATATTATGTGGCATACACTTGGCTTATTAAATGCAAGTCATACAATATTAAGCTGCATAAGGCGTCATTCTCATCAATTGTGCCCTAGATCGACATGGATGCTTCTTCTTCTTATATCTCTTCCAAACGAAATGTTGAATTTAAACCTGGAAATCATTGTTATTGTGGGTTACCATCTTGCGTACGAACTAAAGACAATCCAGGAAAAAAAAAATTAATTGTGCCCTAACTCCATCAAATGGTTTTACTTTTTGGTTTAATCTTCTTTCTTTAACCAATTTATTACTTGTTTCAAGAATTAAGGACCAAAATGCAAGTTCTGGGAATGGTTGGAGCCTGAAACCCTGAAAATGAAGTCAATTCTAGGAAGGACCAAAAAAGAACTGTGCAATTTAACCCTCAAAGTTTCTACATTGGAAAATAAGATCAACATATGTACGATGAAGATGGAACAAGAAAATTTGGCTGTTAGACAAGAGTTTGAAAATTTCAAATAGAAGCTATTTACTCATAAAGTTCTAATGATTGTGTTGTTTCTGTTGTTTGTGTTTAAGAAGTAGTTAGTGAAGTTGTATTCAAAGATCAAATTTAACCCTTAATGATGTATTTTGTTTGATGTATTAAGACAATCTTTTTTATTAATGATAGTTTGATGTTTTGACCGGTTTCAAAGAAAAATTAATGTGTTTAACATGTTAGTCAATTGGACATGATGTAGGGGTAAAATGGTCCAGATTAAGTATAGCAACTATCAATTGTTAATGGTGTTAATATAATCCAAGAGTAAAATGGTCTTAATGTGATCCAAGGGTAAAATTGTCCAGATTAACCACAACAACAACATCAAACATTTCTTAATGTTAATGTCTTAATGTGATCCAAGGGTAAAATGGTCTTAATGTGATCCAAGGGTAAAATTGTCCAGATTAACCACAAAAACAACATCAAACATTTCTTAATGTTAATGGTTTAATGTGATGTAACACCCCGTTCTTTAAGTGTTTAATTATGAGACCCTGAGATTTAAGAGGAAGGGTAATTCTGGTCCTTTTACGAGAAATGAGTTTCATCCGGGAAGGTTTCGGGCTGGTGTATGTGTTAGAAGCATTGGGCTTCTCGTCACTCTCGTATGAATGATAAGTTATTTGGGAGCGGGTTTAGATTAGAGGAGTTGCGGTGTTTTGAAGTTAATCATTGTTATAGCTCTTTGTGGAATAAAAGGGAAATGGTCCCATGCATGCATGCAATTATTTTGAAGTCTGGCTGGGTACGCCCAGCGTAAAGGGGCGAGAAGTTGCGGGTGGACGGGTGAGTACGCCCAACGTACCAGGGAGGTACGCCCAGCGTACTCTCAGAAACTCCAAACCCTAATTTAGGGTCAGCCACTATATAAGGAACATGTTGGTTCACCCCTTAGCCTCCTTATGCTCATCCTTAACCTCAGAAAAACCCTAGATCTCGTGTTCTCTCCATTATTGGGTGTGTTTGACCTTGGAAAACTCTTTTTGGCAAAAGAAAGGCTTGAAGGAGAAAAGAGAAGTTGTCAAAGAATAAGAAGAAGAACGAGTGGAGCTTGTAGATCTGAAGAGATACCATCCTTTGGAGCTTGTTTGAGGTATAAAGCTTCTTGCTTGACCTTCATATTGTGTAGATCTATGCATTTTGAAGCTTTGTCACCATTCTTGTCCCAAAAGTCCTCACCTTGTTGCATGTATCGAATTTGTCAAGATTATCTGTCCTTTCAGACCTTTGGAGAGGTATTGAGTGAGAAAAATGAGGTCCCAAGGGCTGTAGTTGTTCCATGTGTGAAATATATAGGTCTTAATGGATTAAGATGTTGGATTAAGAGCTTATGGACGTCCCAAGTGATAAAGTTTGAGACTTTATGGATTCTAATCATATTTGGCCCAGGGATCTGAAGTTTGGGCTTAAGAGCTTAAGCCATTAAGAGGTTAGAAGGACTTAGTGAATATTGCAGTTACGCCCCGCGTAACCCCTGAGTACGCCCCGCGTAGCGGGCCAGTGCCCCGTTTTATTTTGTGAACATTGCAGTACGCCCAGCGTACCAAGGAGGGTACGCCCAGCGTACTCCTCCTGTTGGACTTTCATTTTGGGCTTTGAGTTTGGGTCGTTGGTGGACAGTTGGTTATTGGGCCAAGTCTGGGAATTTATGGATAAAGTATTTTGGGCCCAATTATTGTTATGGACATTCGTTCTAGGCCCATTCGGTGAAGTGGGCCCAATTTGGTAAATTGGGCCAATGTTGGACTTTGTATGAGATTTGGACTTTGGTCTTGGCCCGATATGTGGAAGTATGATTGACCTAATGTTTATATTGTTATGATGGTTAGTTCGGGATTTACGGTGAGTTGGTGGTTCGAGAGCCTGCTTCTTCAATTCAGAGTATCGGCATTCGCGAGGTGAGTTATCCTCACTATATCGACAGGGTCTAAGGCACCAAGGCTGACCCTTTATTGGATTGAGATTCGGATATTGTTGTTATGTTATTGCTTTGATATGTCTGCATCCTGGTAGCTAGGATGATATATGCTAGAGACCTGGTTAAGGTCAATTTCCCGATATGTAGAGTGATGCTATGCTAGTGACCGGTTAGGTCAGTATCCTGGTTAGGGTAATGATATGTTATGTGATCTGCTTGATCGGTTTGTGGACTATCAACTGTTATATGATTGTATGTTATGTGCACATGGTTGTTTGGACTGGAGTTGGGTTGAGGCGGGTCCTGCTTTGTGCTGTAGGCCAAGATACCCAGGGCGGACCGGTTGTTCCGAAGGCCCAGCGAGCGGTCCGGATAGGCTGTAGGCCCCACGAGGGCGGACCAGACGTGCCGGGGCTCGGAGAGTGGACCAGGCCGACTGAAGGCCCGATGCGGGCGGACCAGTCATACTGTAGACTCAGAGAGTGGACCAGGTGGGTTGAAGGCCTGGTGCGGGCAGACCAACCACACTGCAGACTCGAAGGACATGACTAGACACAGAAGGTGGACTGAAGGCCGATGCGGCAGACCAGTCACACAGTAGACTCAATATGCATGGCTGTTCTATGTTCTGTTATGTTATGTATGCTTTGTGTTATGGGCCGGAAGACAATATGTTATGGGCTGGAAGGCAATATGTTTTGGACCGGAAGGTCGTAGCCTGGAAGCGCATATATGTGGTTGGTATTTTGGGGGTATCCCACTAAGCTTTCGGGCTTACAGTTGTGGTTTAAATGTTTTTCAGGTTCTTCAGGAGATCGTGGCAAGGCGAAGGCGTGATCGTACCGCTCCTCGTGTTTATGTTTATGACATGGTTCTGGGAATACTCTGATAATAAATGTATTGAAAACCTTTTTGTAATAACATTATTAAAATGGATTGTTTTGAAAAGTTTAAATCGTGTTGAAATTTTTGGTCGTTACAAGTTGGTATCAGAGCCTTGGTTTGAGTGAATTGGAGGAACATTCGTGTGAATCCAGGCTCAAATAAAGGAGAGTTTTAAAAGAGGAATTAAAATGGTTTTCAAATTAAGTGAAAAGAGGATGCGGAGGTACGATCAGCCGGAGCCAGTAAGTAACCCCAAAATACCATACATGATAATTGTTTTCGAGCTTTGATAGAACAGCATGCTAGTACTAGGCTAGAGATCTTCAGGATTTCATGATAATGTTGCCTGTTTTATGATGCCTGCTAGCCTAGGGTTTCCCTCTGTATGAGATTTCCAGTGTTCCTCTAGGAGTGGGGATCGAGCGCTTACTATGTATATTTGTCACTAGGGTGTTGTGGTAGAACTTCATACAAATATGGGTAGGTGTGGAAGGTAGTATGGGCCCGTACTACTGAAAACACAAGACCCATACGCGTATCAGGGAAACCATGACCTCTAGGGTTGGGTTGAGAGTTGGTTCCCGGGATAGTGGGAAGTGTCTGAGATTTTGTGGTTTATTTTCAGTATGGAGATTTCGAGGCATGCTGGGGGTGGATCCGGGTCAGGATCGGAATCAGGAGAGGGAGTTCCAGGGGGCAGTACCGCCGAGGTTATCAGACAGATTAGCACGCGCGAGTTGGATGCGAGGATTTGTGAGATCCTGCATGATGAGGTTGCTGCATTGTTCCGGGCCGAGCTGCCGGAACTGTTTGGGTCGATCAAGACCGCCATGGTGGAGTATTTTGATGAGCACTATGCGACTCTCACTAAGACGGCTGCCGTGGCGGCTACAGCGGCTGTATCAGCGGCAGAGGGAGGAGCTAGTTGATGCGTGTATGGGCTTGATTTGGTGAGTAGGGTAGTGTTTAGGTAAATTAAGAGAGAATAGTAACCACAAATGATATATGAATGGAAAGAAATGGATAGATTAGTAACAACTCAAGACCTATTAAGTTGTATACCGGTGAAAACAATCCAAGACCTATTGGATTGAGTTCGTATCAAGTCAAGAACACGTCCTAACAAGATAATTTTTGAATTATAACAATAATTCCAATTGAACAAAGGTTTTTCTTAAAAATTCGTCTATTCCATTTTCATGGATAAACATGGCTTTATATGAAGCCTTTATTACAAAGTTTGTGGTTATAAGCCAACCAACCAACTACTCATTAAAGCTA